AGAGAGAGAGAGAGAGAGAGGGGGAGAGACAGAGACAGAGAGAGAGACAAAGAGAGGGAGAGAGGGAGAGAGAGGGAGAGAGAGGGAGGGAGAGAGAGACAGAGAGAGAGAGGAAGGGAGGGAGGGAGAGAGAGAGATCAGACATACTTTAGATTTCTCTGCCACAAGGTCAAGACAGTCAAAGTAGGAAAGGTCACTCTGTGGCTCATTAGGATTATCAAGTAATGGAGCCATTGCCTACATAAAAAAAAAAAAAAATAATAATATGTATTCTAAATTAAAATAAAAAGTTAACTTAAAATAAATACATGTACATGTAAATACCAAATAAGGCAATGGGATACAGTTTATCAAAAGCCAGTACATGTACATGTACAGCTTTTAAAATATAATTAATCAAAGAGACCACAATTCATACCATAACATCTCATATTACACACACACACACACATACATGTACATGTACACCAATGCATGATCAAAGAGTGAGAATTAGATTACAGAGGAGGGACAGAGACAGTGGGCCAGACTCACCTCAATGCTTCTCAGAGCATTGTCACATTCCTTCTGACCAGGACCAGATGTTGAGCACAAGTTCAAAAGAGCATTAATTGAGTCAGTGACTGCCCTAGCAGCAGCAGCTAACTGATTCTGGACATTAGGGCCAGAAGGATCAACATGTAAAGCTTTTGCAGCAACCAGAAGTTTCGATGAAGTTATGGAGTTGGTACGCAAGTATCCAAGCATTTCTTCTCTGGCTTCTCGCTTCTTTGAGGCGCCGACTAGCATCAAACCGGCTTTGAGGAGCTCTTGGAATTGTTCGGAAAAGTTTCCAGTTGTGACGGCTTGTTGGTCTGGTGTTCCTCGGGCGGAGCTTACCACTTCAGCACTCGCAACGTTAAGAGCAGCTGCTGCTGCACTGAGATTTGATTGTAGCGTCTGGTAAGATTGACCACCTGCTGATGGAAACTGAGAGAGTAGAATAAAAAGAAAAGTAGAATTACATTTGTGAATATTAGCTTTAATTTACTTTTATCATGATCATTATCTCTCTCTCCTTCTATCAATCTCTATCTCCCTTCCTCCCTCTCTCTCTCTCTCCCTCTCTCCCTTACTTTATCCTGCTGTAAAGCTAAGCTAGCCTGAGCAATAGCCTTGATAGCATTCTCATACTCGATCACTCCGGGTAGACAGTTCACCATGTGATTCAAGGCCTGAGACACATTCTTAGCTGCCTGTGCCAGCCTCTGCTGCTTGTTGGAGGCCGTTGGGTTCTCTAGGGTCTGCTTCACCTCCGATATAAGACCAACGCTTTGATCCATAACCTGCTGTGCTGTCATTATGATGTAGTCCTGAGTTTGACGGTCTTTAGTAAATGCAGCCACACCTCTCACTGAACTGGTAAGGACCTGGAGAGAAAGAGGAAGAGAGGGAGAGGGGGGAGAGAGAGAGAGGGAGAGAGAGAGAGAGAGAGAGAAAAGGTAAATGAAAATTATACATTTTGTAACTTTAATAACAATCTACAGCACATTTGTTACTAGACTGCAATAATGACAACAATGAAATTGGATGTTTGGTATCTTGTGATAACACAAAATTGTGAAAGTAAGTTAAAAATATACACAATATACATTAACAGATACTGCATTAGTTTTAATCTACATGTACACATGTAGATTCAGTAAGATATGCTCAGTATACACATACATGCATGTACATGTACATCCTCATTAACTATCATCAGTAATTATCATTATCATCATTATCATATTATACTACCTGGAGGGCATTAGCAGTGTCCCGAGCAGCAATACCAGTATAATTCTCGTTTCCCTGATTAGCAGCTGTTAGTAATTGCGCCATTGACGACCCGACGGTTTTACTGGTAGCCCCAAGCTCAAGAGAGCAACTCTCAACAGTCTGTCCTGGTAGAGGGAGGAGTTGACCTTGAGCTGCTTCACGTTTGACCTCAGCTAGTTCCTTAGCAAGACCCTTGATGACGTCCATGGCACTTTCAAGTTCCAAACTACCACACACTTCTTGAGCCTAGGGAGAGAGAGGGGGAGGGGGGAGGGAGGGGAAAAGGGGGAGAAACAAAAAGAGAGAGAGAGAGGTACATCAATATACATTTGTATATTATTTTACATTACATATGTATGTAACCTAGAATCTTGAAACACAGTGCACACACACACACACACACACACCTTCCATCTCTCTCTCTTCCTCCCTTCCCTTCCTTACTTTAGCTGACGAAGCTCTCAATTCGGCCAGTGCTGCTGCTGTAGCTTTAGCAAAGTTACCCAGCTGAAGAGCTGACGCCTGATCACCAACTGTAGGCACGGCAGCCTTGGCTGCTGCAACCATCTTAACAGCAGGCTAGAGGGAGAGAGGAAAGGAGAAGGAAAAGAGAAGGAAAGAGCGAGATGTAATTGGGATAAATAGAGTATAAAATAAAATAGACACTACAGTGATAAAAGTACTAAAATTCAATAAATGTGACCATAATTGACAAAAGGGCCCTTATGGCGGATTTTAAAATTGATCATTATAATGGAAAATATCAACCTGTGAGTGCTTTGTTAGACAATCATTGTTTCTAAAAGTTTCATGGTAACTTTTTGCATCCTGTTGAGTAATTTTATGATAATTGGGGCTAAGGAAGTTGGATTTCTTAGGCTAGAAAGACAAATTTCACTACCCGCCATAAGGTACCTTTTGTCAATTATGGTCACAAATATGAATGTACATGTACTGCACAATCATAATAATTACACTATAAAATTGGAATACAATTAGAAGACAAGAAATCACAATCATATATCAATGGAGGCATAGGTGGAATACATTCTCCATTGGATACTTACGGGGACCATTGCTTGGGATGAGTTTATGAGTCCCAGTTGAGCTGAGGGCGAGTCCTGGTTCTCCATTGAGGTACGGACAGCTTGAACAAGATTAGATATCTGTTCAGCTACGGCTTTGCAATGATTCATTAGCTGATTCTGACTAGCATCATTCCTATGGGAATAACAATTAAAATAACATACTGTATATACATGTATAAGTATCAGATAAAAGTTATAAATTAGAGCTCTCTCCTAGCCATTGTCATAAAACACCCTGTACTATAGTACAGGGATTTTGGCCCGATTTTGGAGAAACTTTAAAAATTCATAAAAAATCCAAACTTGATCGGAATCAGCTCAAACTTTCTACACAACATAAGAACATGTATATGCATCAGATAAAAATATATAAATGGAGAATTCTCTCTTTGCTAATTTTGATGAAATACCCTCTACTATAGCCCATGCTTATAACTACTATTTAAATAATATATACAATATTACATCATTATTACATCATTACAATACCTGTTAGAGGCTCCTGCTCCCTGGGCAGCTGCAATGAGTTGAGTGGAGACAGCGCTTGCTTGTTTAGCCGCCATTTCCAACTTCTTGATTGCCTTCTTCTTCATGGCTGACATTGCAGTTGCATTAGTTACAGCACGTAAATGTTCGGCAGCCATTCTTAGGTTCTTCTCAGCATTTTCATCCTAAACAAACAAATAAATAAAATAATAATATTAATAAATATTGTTTAACTACTTTATCAATTCATAATTCTTAAAACTATATTATGTTAATTAAAATTGGTCTTAGAGGAAAAGTGATAATCAATCTGTATCTTATATCATTATAATTTATAAATAAAATAAATAAATAAATAAATATGAGATCATGTACATGTACATGTACCATGCATACATTTAATCTTCGCTTATTAACACAAATCATTTGAATGAGTGTA